GGAGGAGAGAGAGAGGTGGGGGAGCTCTGTGCCCTTTACCCAGTTCCCCTCAAAGGTAACACCTTACAAATCTCATAGAACTTAATCTAAGGGTACTGATGTTGACACAGGCAGGCTGCAGATATTTCTTTTAAGCCTTCTGTTTTCCCATAAATAAAATGCAACAAAGAGGTGGCAAAAAAGTGTGAAGAATGTAACTCTATCAATAGAAACCCATCTTTTAGCTTGTTTCTATTTCCTCACCTGTCAAGGGGATATCATTGTACCTTCCACATGTAGTTAAAGAAAGATTTAAATGTGAAGAACAGCAGCATCCAGCACAGAACAAGTCCTTAGTAAACAATGGATGGTAATACTATCTACCTTTTTTCTGAGAACAGGTTAAAAAAAGTAGGTTTCTCTGCCTGTCATCTGCACTATGCTGCAGCCCCAGGGAGATGTGCAAAGAGGTGGGGAATGGGCATACTGCTGGTTATGGTGCCTTCAGCAAAGCCCTCAACCAGGCTAGGTCCAGACAGTATGGTGGCAGCACCAGGCAGGACACACAGGCCGAATGAGTGTCTGCTTAATACCTGCCACCTGCTGGATCACAGAGGAGTTTATGGCAATCCACATCGTCATTTCTCCCATTTCACAGAAAAGGTAACTGAGATTCAGAGAGTTTAGTCTTGGGACCATGGTCACATACCTGGAAAATTGTGGGCAGGACTCAGCTGACCCATACGCACAAGGCACATCCTGGATAGGTGGGTCAAGACCCAGGCTGTCCCTCACCTAAGTCCAAGCCTAACCAGAGGGAGCAGTGCTGTGACCACAACTGCTCACTGAAAGGGCCACAGCAGAATCTGACTGCAGGTAGAGAAATTCCAAGAAGTCCACTTACCTGATACCAGGACCCCTTTGCACCACCCACCTCTGCCACTCATGCAATCAGTACATCCAGTGCCAGTATGAGGGCTTCAGTATACAGAACTTTCTAGATCCAAATGGCTTTGTCGAAGCCCAAGGCCAGTCCTCTCTGGGGGACTCACCTGCTTTCTGCTGCTTGGTCAGTTTCTGAGGTTGTCCTCGGAGGTCATCCAGGGTTCGCAGCCCTTCCTGGTACCAGTGGTTGGCAGTCTTCACCCCAACCCCAAAGATTTGGGTGAAGAGCTATGTAGAGGAAGGAACAGTTGGGACAGGAACAAAGCACCCACAGGAAGATGCACCTGAGGTGTTGCCTTCATGCCCAAGATCATGGGTTGAAGACTCAAACCCAGTGTCTGGCCTGCCCAGCCCATTATCACAGAGGAGTAAACTCACACACCATGGCAGAAGCCCCAGGAGAGGCAATATGTTGGGGGCTTTGCTGCCCAGTTGCTGAAAGCTAAGGAAAGACCTTGGTAAGCTATTTCCTCAACCCTCTACTAAAACATAGGTCCAGCCTGTGCTTCCAACAGAACCAAGAGTCATCTTAATACGTCTCTTGGTTCACTGGGAAAACCATGCCTCTCCCACTTACAGCAACTGGAACTTATGTCTATGGTTCTCTTCAAGAAACAGCAAAAACAACATGGAGTTAATAAATGAGAGGGTGGCTTCAGAAAATGTACTGGATAGGCTGGCTGGGTTTACTCAAGCCTCGAGAACATCAGGATGATGGGTGCTGCTTTCACCCAAGTCTCCCATACACAAAGGGGTGGAGTGGGGAGGTCTGAACATGGACCAGTTCAGAGGACCCTGGGCCAAGCACTTCACCTGCCACTGGGCCAGGCACTCAGACTCTTCCCAGGAATTTTGGAGTGTCTCAGAAGATAAACTGAGGTATCCAGAAGTGTTGGAGGTGCCTCCCTACCAGGTTAGCAGTGAGCAGGCACAGGGGGAAGATGCACCATGGAGACAGGTGGGCCCACAGTACAGAAAAAGTAACACACAAGATCACAGAAAGCACAGTGTAAAGCGGCAGCCCTTCTACACACATCTTGGGTCCTATAGCACCCAAGAATAGGTTATAGTTTGTTCAGTGTGCTAATATGCTTAAAATTAGTCTGTCAAAAACAGTCTAATAAAACAGATGGTGCTCAGTGATCTAGAAAACTCTCCATGCTCAAAACAGGCTTCTGCCTGTCTTCATTTGGTGGCCAGAGCATATCAGGTGTCTGCTTAGCTGCCATTTCCTCAGTAAGACCTTCTCTGACCCCAGAGCTGGATCAGCCACCCCTGCTTGCCTCCCTTGTAAGTGCTTTGGACAGTGCTGTGCACCCTTGTCAAGTTCCCTGCGCACCTTCATGGTTTGGTACCTCTCTGAGCAACGAATTCTCTCCACCTCCTCACATGTTCCATGCTCCAGCAGTTCCTGGAGGAGGAGACAAAGCAAAACACTGAGCCACAGGAACTGGAAAGAGAACAGCAGTCAGGGTAGAGGCTGGGGGTTGGGTGGTCCTTTCCACACCCTACAGACAGGGGCTCTGTGATATGAGGATACAGTGGGACTTGGCAATGGACAGTGTGCCCAGGGCGGTGACAACAGCTGCTGCCACACAACTAGGGGATGAGATGGGGCTCTAGCCTCAAAGCTCCTTGAGGTTAGAGTTACAACAGCTTAGGTCCCAGGTAATATTGGTCATCTCTCAGATAAAATAGTGAGCTCCAGGATCTATAAACATTTTCTTTTTAAAAACGTATATCAGTTTATCTAAAAGCATCTTTTGTTTACTTTGTGCTCTCACAGTGAAAGTGCACAGAAGGGCAGCTTAACATGTGGGTTTTCAAAAACTTACACTTGGTTGCTCTCTTCCCCCACCCTGAGCAGTTTGGGACAAATGACAATGACATCAATGCCAGAAGCTCCCTTTATCAAGTCCTCTCAGGCACTCTGAGGGAGGTAAGTGACTCACAAGGGATCTGTGCTAAAGGTGGGCTGTGGTGGTCTTGGAGCAGCATCTTTGTGCATGTTTGTCTCTCCACATTGGGGTCTGAAATACCAGGACTCGTGGCTGTTTCACTGGGCCCCAGGGCCTCCCCACCCCACCTACTCACCTGGCTACACATGGCAGACACCTACCTGGACAACCCTGGAAGAATGTTCTCCAAAGTGGGGCAACCCCTGCAGCTGACTCAGGGAAGTGACAGGGCAAGGAAGGGCCCTGAGCACAGAGGCTGCTCTGCGGAAGGAGAGGAGGCGGCCCTCACTGCCTTCGAAGCCTGCTGCCTCTGCCAGAGTCTCCAAGGCCTCCTGCAGAGAGAGGCCCTTGGTTAAGGGGCAGAGTGGGCAGGACACTTTGCTTCAATCTACCAGCTACCATCCAGCTGTACCCATGTCCCTGTACCTGGAAAGCTAAAAATTTCTCACAGACATGACTCACCGAGAGGATGGTATTGTGGTGTGTGAGGGGTGTGGGACGCTGGCAGGCATAAATCGACACCCACACTGGGCTTGGGGGCTCATTCCTGGGCTCAACCACCTGCAGAAGGGCAATGCACAGATCATGAGGCTTCAGGGCTGACAGAACCAGGCAGCAATCAGAGTCCTGACTCTTCTGGGCATTCACCTTGGGCCCTCTAGAATTCACAGGACAGAGGTAGTGAACTACAGGCATGGGCAGAGGGGACACAGCAATGGGTCTTGGTGGTTCAGAGCCCTATATGGAGGGAGGGAGGGACAGACAGACTGCATTGCAGAACAAACTGAGGACAAGGCTCTTCAGACCAGAGTAGTAGCAACAATCTGTTAATCCTCACAGTGCACTTTTCCTGCCTCCCCAAATCCTCACAATCAAGTGGGCTGGGGACACTAAAGTTTCAAGGTTAGGGAGCATGCCTTCTCCCTCATGGCTCACAGGTAGAGCCAGGATTTGAGTATAAGCAGTCTAGCTCTCTAGAGTCTCAAGGATAGACTCCTACCAATCCATGGATCATCCCAATACTCACTGAGGAAGAAGTGAAGCCCCAGCTGCAGAGGCTGCCCCACTTTGGAAGGCATGAAGAAGCTAAACATAAGTGAATCTCAAGTGGTGAGGACAGAAGCTGGGATGGTCCAGCCCCAGCTCTTGCCATGGCTTCTCTGCTGATTCTCAGGCACCCCAGGTGATATGAGCAGAGCCCTCTGGAGGGCACTGGGGCACTGCTGCTGCGCATCACCTATCCCAACTGAGTTAGGCCTGAACTGTCTTACCTCCAATCGATGCCGGTCCTCCACAGGGACAGGCTGCCCAGCTGCCATGCTTTCTGTGAACCAGCTGATGTCCAGCAGAGCTGGGTGGGGACAGCACGGGAGAGTAGCAGCCATGTGCTTCTGCCAGCAGATGGCCTCCTTCACTGAGGTCTGTTCCATCACCACATGTGTCACCTCGGAGCTGGGCAAAGGCAGAGGAGGACTGTGAAATCCATTGGCTCCATACCTTTAAGCTTTTATTCTTGCTGTCCCCTCTGCATGGTGACTGTCTTTCATTCTTCAAAAGTCACCTCCTCCAGAAAGCCTTCTCAAGGCCCTTCTGGTGTATGAAAATTTCCACCGCTCTTAGATTGAGGTTTTCTGCTCCAGTTATGCTCACAAGCCAGCCTGGCTTTGGGTTGACTTGCCTGTATCCTTCTCAACCTCAGAGAAAGGAATGCCTTATGGTCTGGGACCACATGGTCTTTATTTAAGAGCTAGGATTTAAGCACAGATGCCAGAGAGTGCATACTTTTGTCTGAACCCCAGCCCTGAGAACTTGCTGTGTGCCCTTGGGCAAGTCTAGTCTCCCTACATCCTCCTCTATAAAACAGAAATAACTACTACCTGGTAGAGCTATTGTAAAAGTTGCATCATGTGCACTGTGTGAGTGGGTCTGGTGCACTATCCTGCCCCTGGAGATGTTTAAATACAAAATAGTAAATAAAAGCTTTGGGAAGCACTGGTCCCAAGTCCACTTAGCTTCCCCAATCTCAAAACTACTCTCTCTGGGCACTATCTTGATTCCCTCCCTATGAGAGCGCCAGTTATATTCCAGGTTCAAAGTTTCAGGATGGCTCAGTGTGGCTTCTAGGGCAGGTGGGCAAATACTACTTCTAATTACCCCTCCCCTGAATGGCTCTTTGAAAAGCTTCTGGCTTGATTGTCAATAATCCTGTAGAACATTCCTAGCAATCTTAATAGCAACCTTGCTGGGATTGAGGCTCTATGCCTGTAATCTGAGTGACTGGGAAAGCTGGCACAGGGGGATCAAAAGTTCGAGTCCATCCTCTGCAACTTAGGAAGACCCTACCTTTAAAAAAATAAAAATAAAAAGGGCTGGGGATGTAGCTCTGCAGTAAAAGGCCCTTGGATTCAATCCCCAGTACCTAAAAATTTTTAAAAATCCCTTTCAAGAAAGATTACTTGACCAAAGAGCCACAGATAACTTGGAATCCAATAACGCAGGTGCAGCCGCCCCGCAGGAGCATGCTATGAGTCACCTGGGTCTCTGAATGGGCCCAGCGAAAAAGCCTGCTTAGCTGGCCCCACACCAACATCAGGTCCTCGCAGTGCCCCACGCAGAGGTCGGCACACCTGTAGACTTCGAGGACACGGAAGCCCTTGGACAGCGCCAGGCGTGTGAGAAAGGCCCGGCGGCTACGGCCCATGCGCGGTTCAGCCAGGTAGATGGCGACGCCGGGAAAGAGCACTAAGGGCGAAGTGGAGGAAGTGACTGCACCACCGGGACATCCGACCCGCACTCGCCGCCGTTTCGGGAGCATCTGGACACCTACGCGGGCTATGAGAGGAAGAAAAGGGGCCGATAGCCTTAAGGAAGGAGAGCGAAAATGAAGGAAAGTGGGCGACAACAGAAGGAAAGCAGGCAAAAGCTGGCTAGAGAAGGAAGTGGCGCCACAGAAGGCCCCGCCCTATGTAAATGAGGTCCCCACGGAATCCGCCCTTAAGTCTGGTAGGAGCCCTGTGGAGGTCCAGAGTTCCGTTCCAGAGGCCCCGCCTCTATGCAAATAACCACCAAGGCCACGCCTTCTATTTAAATTACCCTCCCGGAAGGCCCCGATTTGCATTGCAGGCCTAGGGGCGGGGAGGCTCGCCGCAACCGGAAGCGTGAGCCTTGTCCTTTTCTGGAGTGGGACCTTGTTCTCGGAGTGGGCGGGGCTGGGCGGGGCTCCGGACCTACGTGTGCCCCGGATGGGTGGGACTTCAGGACCGTGCCGCCTGCAGGGTCCACGTGTGCTCGTGAGGTAGCAGCGGAAAGTTTTCTAGCGGAATGATGTTGGGATAACTGGCTGGCCACTTGGAAAAGTGGAAATTGGCGCTCTCCGTCACTGCTTAACACCAAATAAATTCCACATGGATCAAACATTTAAATCTGAAAAAGAAACCAAAACCGTTCTTGAAAAAATATCAATGTTTTTATGATCTAACTTGAAAATACTAAAGCAAATAAAAGAGAAAGGGCTAACTGGACCACATGCAAATTTAAAATGTGTTTAAAAATTAAAGACAAAATGAGGGAAGCGTGATATTTTTTAAATTAAGACTGATTCTCATAATTATAAATCGAAAAAAAAATGCTAAAGCAAAAAAAAACGGGGGGGGGATAACATTACCCACAGATAAACAAGAAAGAGACAATGATCTAATAGAAGAATTGGCAAAGAAACACAATTGAGTAATTCTCCCATACAATTATGACCAAATCTCCAAACCTGTGCAGACACTAGAGAAGTGCAAGTTTAGATAAGAATAACTTCACCTGTTGGTTTATCAGATATATAAGAAATTAATGGCATATGTTGAAGGTGCGAGGGGAAATGGCAATTTGTAGAAGAGGCTCTGGAAGCTGAATTAGCAACCAAGAAAATGACAAAACCACATTTTTTTGTGGGGTGGGGGTATCTAAGATTGAACTCAAGGGCACTGAGCCACACAGCCACTGAGCCACATCCAGCCCTATTTTGTATTTTATTTGGGGACAGGGTCTCACTGAGTTGCTTAGCATCTCGCTTTTGCTGAGGCCGGCTTCATACTAGCAATCCTCCTGCCTCAGCCTCCTGAGCTCTTGAGTGTGCCCAGCCCAAACTACATGTTGATCCAGCAATTCTTTTCCCTCCTGAATCCTGAACTGTATATTCTTCCAGCCCTGTACTATCAGCCAGTGGCTTTTCTCTCCTCCTTGTCCCCCACCCCTGCCTTTTTTATCATCTTCTATGGGCCCTCTCTCTGCCCCAGTTCTGACTGACTGAGGGCACAGAGCTGAGAGGGAGAGGCTAGTGACTTAGCCCAGTTATCTTTTTGGCCTCCCTCTCCTCTGAGACTCCCCAACACTCACCCATCCAAGCCTACAGAACTTCCTGGACCTTAATCTCTTCACACCACACCACTGTGAGAAGACTTGGGTGTGCCCCCTCTCCCCCTACTCCTCTGCTACCAGCAGGGTTAGAGCTCTGTGTCCCACATCTGTGATGCCAGCTCCTCCTCTCCTCAAGGCACAGCTTTGCCTGAAAATCCCTTCCCACTGTCTGTCCCTCTCTTTTTCTCCTAATATCCTGTCTGGGTCAGGGTACCTGGGCTCACCTTAGAGCCTTCCTCCTTTCCTGGAGAGGCAAAGGCAATATTTAATAATCCTTCAGACCTGAATATTCAAAATCCTGGGCAACTGTGTACAAATATTTGTGCAAAGAATTCCCTTCAGGTTGCTAAAAGAAATTGCCTGGCTTAGAAATTGGCCAGGCCCTTGGAGTGGTGTCTGCTGCAGACAAATGTCTGCTGGGACCACATGTGGGCTTACCATTATGAAAACTGTCCATGCTGGGTGATTTGGGTGGTGAAAGAGATGGGAAGGGACACTCATCTGCTCTGCCCTGTACTCCAGGGAGAAGTGGCCTGCCATTGGTGGGGGTGGGGGCAACTGGAGACAGGATTTTCTGCTGCTTATGATTTTTTTTTTAAGAGAAGAGAGAATTTTTAATATTTATTTTTTAGTTTTCGGTGGACACAACATCTTTTATTTTATTTTTATGTGGTGCTGAGGATCGAACCCAGCGCCCTGCGCATGCCAGGCAATCGAGCTACGCTTGAGCCACATCCCCAGCCCTTCTGCTTATGATTTTAATATATGTGCTGCCAAAGTAAGCACTCTTCTGTTTCTGAGATGATCTCCTGTCTCAGAAATTAAGTGCCCACTCTGTGTTGTAAGTGTTTGGTGAGTGTGGTGTGTTTATTTGTATGTGTTAGAGAGTAGGAAGGTGTTTCTGAAGAATAAACAGAATAAAGAGCTGAGGGGAAGAGAGGGTGTGTCAACACAGGAGGGCTCAGGACCTGGCACAGGGGAGATCCATACTCTGGCTGAGAATATACAGGGGCTGGAGGTGGCTTTGGCAACAAGCCAGAAGCAGGACTTGGGGCAAATCAGGAATTGAGTGTGCCCAGGAGGCACCTGGAAGGAGTTGCCTTTCCCAGAGTGTGAACCTTGGGCTATGGGAAAGATCCCACTGAAGGGAGGCTTCAGGTTATCTCTTGCACATGTGAAAATTGTCTTTATGCTTCCATCCTCACCTGGCCTGATCTCTCCATACTGGTCTGTGGTAGTCACTAAGGATAGGCAGTGAAGAGTGGGTCTGGAAAGGCAGGGAGTCTGCCTCAGGGGCAGTGATGAGGCATGTCCCCTTTCCTGAGTATAGTACAGCAGGATGTCCCTGAGCACTTCAAGTAATCTGATGTTCAGGCCCTCCCCCAGGCAGTCTGGTTTAATTGGCCTGGATGTGGCCTGGGCATTGGTATTTAAAAATCTTCCCAGTGACTCTGATATGTGGCCAAAGTGAGACCCCCAACACTCACCCATACAAGCCTGTGCAGTCACTAGAGAAGTGCAAGTTTAGATAAGAATATCTTCACCTGTGGTTTATCAGGTATATAAGAAATTAATGGAACATGTTGAAGGTGCGAAGGAAAATGGCAACATGATTCTGTTGAATTAGCAACCAAGAAAATGACAAAACCACACTTTTTTGGGAGTGGGAGGTATCTGGGATTGAAGGTGAGACCCAACTGCTCTGGAGGAAAGGACCCCTATAGTTTGGATCTGGAGTGTCCCCAAAAAAAGTCCATATGTTAAAGATTTGGTCCTCAGCTTGGCAGCTATGGAAGTGGTAGAAACTAAGAAGTGATGCTTAGTGAGAGGTCTTAGGTCACTGGGGGCTTGATATTGAAAGAGATTGTGGGTCAGGTGTGGTGGTGCACACGTAATCCTAGCAATTTGGGAAGCTGAGGCAGAACCCTGTCTCAAAAAATAAAAAGGGCTGGGCATGGTAGTGTGCACTTATTAATTCCAGCAGCTCGGGAGGCTGAGGCAGGAGGATTGCAAGTTCAAAGCCAGCCTCAGCAACAGCAAGGTGCTAAGCAACTGGGTGAGACCCTGTCTCTAAATAAAATACAATATAGGGCTGAGGATGTGGCTCAGTGGTTGCGTGCCCCTGAGTTCAATCCTTGGTTCCCAAACAAACATAGAAACATACATACATACATAAATATTTTTAAAAATAAATAAAAAGGGCTAGGGGTGAGGCTGGGCAGAACTCTTGCTTAGCATGTGTGAGGCATGGGTTCGATAGTTAGCACCACATAAAAATAAACAAATAAAATAAGGGTGTTATGTCCATCTACAACTACAAAAAAAATTTTTTAAAGGGCTAGGGGTGTAGATCAGTAGTAGAGTACCCCTGGGAAAAAAAGGAAGGAAAGAAGGAAGAAGAGGGAAGAAAGGAAAGGAAAGAAAGGTCTTGTGGGGTTTTAGTCTCTTTTTACACTCGCATATTTATTCTTATCCTCCCCGTCAACCTCCATCCCCTCTCTCTATCTCTTGCTCTGATTCCTGGCTGCTTGCTCCACATGTGCTCACTCGTGATGTACTACCTCACCATAGGCCCAAAAGCCCTGAAAGCAATACAGCCAACAGATCAGGGACTGAAACCTCCAAAACTGTGAGCTAAAATAAACCTTGTCTATTTATTAGTTGATTATCTCAGGTGTTTTTGTTTTTGTCTTGTTTTGTTGTTTTGAGACAGAGTCTCACTAAATTGTTAAAACTAGCCTCAACCTTGCAATCCTCCTACCTCAGTTTCCAGAGTCACTGGGATTACAGGTTAATGCCACTAGCACAGGGCTCTTCAGGGAGAGAGACACTGACAACAAGTTTACATGTATAAAAATAAAAGCTGGAAACCACTTAAGTATCTAATAGCTAAGGACTATGCTATGTCCACATCACAGAATACTATGGAGCCATTAAACATGATTCTGTGTAGTTTTACTCATAATCTCCCAAAAAACTGTAAACTCTCCAAATGTTCTTTGGGAACAACTTCACACACTGATCCATCCATACCAAGGAATACTAGGCAGCCTTGAGATGACAGGGATACTGGTACAACCGTCTTGGATGAGATTCAGGTGTCTTATGTTAAGTGAGAAGAACCATCTACAGTAGGCTCTGATCTTGTGAATAAGACAGTTTGGAAAAGGAAAAGCTGTGGGGCAGAAAACAGACCAATGATTGGCCGGGGTTGGAGGTGGAGGCAGATAGTTGTTGACTGCAAAGAGCCCTGAAGGAATTTGAGAGTGATGGAATGTTTCTTAGCTATGGTGGAGGTTCCAGAACTGTGTTTGTTAAACTCATAATTATGCACTAAAAAGGGTGCATTTTTCAGTATGACAACCTCAGTAAGCCTGACTTTTCAAAACTGGTGCTGTACAGCCAATATTCACTGCCATGAAAAGATACATGAGATACTGCCTGATACTATTCCTGATGAAAACAGACAGCTGTGTGTATAATGTGAAGTCATATTTCTAAAATCCTCTTTCTGTATATGTGACATACATGAAAAATAGAGTGGCAACATGGCCAAGAAAATGTT